CACAGGGCACCTGGTTTGCACTAGGGGTGCAATATGCACTTGCAAAAAGGGACAGCTGGTAGCTCGCTGCCCCCAACGTTGCTTCTCTAGGGACATTTGGGTCACTGCTGGGGAGATTTTTGCACTCTGGGAATTCACTCTTGTTTCCTGGTTGTGGCATTAGCCCTCTATAAGCACTGCCACTGGTGAAAGGAAGAACACGAGGTAGACGTCTGACTGGAAAAGTGCGCTTCAGGGATCTTCACAGCCACATGTTGGACTAACAGAATAGCCACTGGGCCCCTTTTAAGGTCATTTAGCAGTACCACTTGGGGTGTGGTAAGGCTTCTTCACTATCTGGATGTACCATAGGTCATTGCAGAGTAATGATTCATGTGGGAAGTATTCAGAGTTACAAAAATAGTACAGGCAGCAGGTTTGGGAAAGTATTTAGTTTTGTTTCTCTTTCCTTTTCTCCTCTTAAAGCTAACTTTATTTCTACAATGGGCAGCAGGGTTTTAGTGCCATTGAGGAGCACCATAGGTGGCATACTAAGTGAAGACGTTATAGGCAGTACCTTACAATGAGAGGAGAGGAGCTGTAGCTCCTTCACCATATAAATGTAAGGCAGCAATGATCTCCTAAGTTAGCCACAACACACACTCAGCTTGGCCAGGTAGGTACCCCACTTCAGGGCAGGACAATAACCGGGGATTGAACTCAGACCTTTGTGCTTAGGACAATACCTTCTAAGGCAGTATCCAATCAGGAGTTTAAATTAATTATGGACACCAACTTTTGTCCTTCAGTCTTGTTGCGCCTGGAGGTTAGGAACCCATGTGGGCCTAAGAATTTTGGAGAACTTTTTAGCTGTTCTGGCTTTCTCTTGGGAGCTCATTTGGAGTTCAAGTTTCAACTGCTTTGTGTGAAAAAGAAGTTTGGATTTTGTGTTGTGTATGAAAGAGACAGAAACTATACATATATTAGGTGTTTTGAGATCTCTATTGTGATTTGCTGGGCAAATAAACATGCTTGTGTTCAGATCCCTGAAGAAATTTTGGTTACCAGTTACTTAGAAAAGGGTGATTTTATTGTGATGTAATATGGTCCTTATAATTCAAAGTGTACTCTGATTTAAAGAAAATGTCTCCAAGATTCTTTGGAGTAACTTTGGCCAGGATAATATCCAGAATTTGCTTCTGCTGTTATGCAGATTGGTAACAAGTACCAGAAAGAGCCTTTTATGCCCGCTGATAACACAGCCCCTCAGCGGATCCCCACCCCCATTTATGTTTCTCTCCATTTGGCTGACAGTCTAAACTGGCTTGGTTATTAAATTCTCATTCGTTTCAATATCATTGTCAAAACTGTTGGCAGCAGTTCGCTTGTTTCCAATTCTCCTATCACCTTTATTATCTGATTTGAAAAAAAATCATGGAAATTAGATAACTTTTTAATATCTGGTAATTATAAGTCACAAAATATAATCATTTCATTGTGTATTTTGTATCTATGTGTACCTCTGATCTTAAATTTATATGGTGTGAAATTACTCATTAAAAGAAACCCAAATGTTTTTCAGTTCACATGACTTAAGCAAGTGTTTAAAAGACGAAAGTGGTTTCAGAACTGTGAACATGCACTTCACCTGTGTCACTCAGTTAGGGTGGTTTTAAGCATCTGAGACCTCAAGCACAACCCTTGAGTAATTTTTCTTTTTTGAGGGGGAAGACTTGGCATATTGACGTGCACTAGTCTAATAGCTTAGGTTTTGTAGACGTTAGAAGTACCTTACCATGAAACATCTCAGTTATTTACAGGTAAAACAAAGTCATTTGCTAAGTATACATTCAAATATTCTTTATGTCCTAAAATCTGTAAAACATACTGTATTAATGCACTGGGGATAATAAATATATTGGACATGCAACTTAGATTCCCTAAAGGCCTGGCCATAAGGTCCGGGGACTGACTCATATGCCTTTCCTTCCCTGCAATGTCCACAAAAAACCACCTTTCCAATGCTACTTCAGCCTGTTGCCACTAGGGAAGAAAAGTTATGTGTGGGCTGCTTCTGCAGCTTTGGAGGGTGTGTGGGGCCAGGAGGCTAGGGCTAGGCTCCTTTGCTGCAGCTATAAGCAGAGGACTCATCACCCTGAAAGGTAGTGAATTGCTGGTGGCAGTATCCATTCTGAAATAGGACTGGAGCAAAGACTAGCGGCTGAGGTCTCCCGCCTCCCGTTAGGCCTTTCCCCCTCTGATCCCCACTTCAATGACAGCAGTCAACTGCCGTGTTTTGCAGTGTCCTTCTGAGACTGCCCATCACTATGCTAGGGCTGCCTGGTAATGTCTTCCCATCCTACCTCTTACCACTTCCACTTCTGAACATGTTGAAAATAAAGCTAGTAAATTGTGGAACATGTCATATATACCAGTAATATTTATTTATTTATCTATTTATCTATCTGGTATGGGGTCTCACTACACAGATCAGATTTGTAGTGATCCTCCTGTTTTCAGCCTTCTTAGTGCTGGGATTACATAGATTAATAATTTTTTGTTTTGTTTTTTCTTGTTTGTGAGACAGTGACTCTCCATGTTGTTCAGGATGGCCTTGAGTTCCCTATGTAGCCCAGGCTGGTCTTGAACTCACAGTGATTCTCCTGCCTCAGGAGAATGAGAGGGAATGGGGACCTTAGTCCATCCCTACCACATCTGTGAGCAAACTCAGATGAGGAGAGGAGGTCGTTTTCACCTGACTCAGCCACCACACCCGGACTAGGTCACCAGCTCAGCATGCCCAGGGGTGGGGCCAGTGTGGCATGTGGTGCCCGGGATTGAACCCCAGTCTCTACTGAGCTATCTCATGGGCCTTTCAGTATACCAATAATTTTATGCCCAGTAGAAGAAACTAAAAGGACACGAGCAAATTTTTGTTTTAGTGTGTGACTACATATCAAAACATAAAAATAAATGTTTAAAACCCATGAAGTTTAAGTCAATTATCCCTCAAACTATTTTAAAAACAAACATAAAACCTTCTGACTACCTAATCATCTTTTTTATACTTTATTATTTTCTATGCTCAAGCCCAGCTATTCAAAAACAATTATTCCATTCCTCGTCACATCACTGAAGCATTTAGTTCAAACATTAAATACTAGTTATTTCACTATCTAGTTGTTAATGAAAAATAGAGCTAAGATTCACTTTTACATATGTATGAATGATAAGATCAGACATTTTACTAAAGAACATAAGTGTAGGGAATACATACATGAAAAAATGTTAAACATAATAAAAAGCTAGGGAAATGCAGTTGAAATATTGTGATACTGCTACACATTTACTAAATGAATTAATGTTAACTATATTCATCAATGGCAATGATACAGAAGAGCTGGAACTCATACTGCTCATAGGACTCTAAAGAGAAAACTTGTATTAGATCAGTTTGGCATTCTGAAAAAAGTTATCAGTCTACCTAGACTGTGACTCAGGCATTGCATTCTGAGGTGTCAACACAAAATAATGAAGCATTCAAGTGAAGAATTGTATTCCAATTATTGCAGCAGTTTTACTTACAGTAACATACAAGTGTAGATATAATGCACATGACCAGATGAGTAAAAGAAGTGCTTTATCATATTACACGATCTCACCTAGAAGGTTGAGATGGTGCTTTATTCACAGAGCATGTCTCAGCAATTTTTTATAGTTCCTTTTTTAGGAACTATTCATATAAGAATTAGTGAATCTCATGATAAATAGGCTGAACACATGCAAGAGAATAAAAGAGTAACAACATTATGATTTTAACATAAAATTCTGAAAATAAAAACAAATTTGTTCTAGTGGAAATCAGGGCCAACCTGGAAGGCAAAAGAGGCAGTGCTAAAAAGGCCACAAGATAGATTTGTAGGTCATGCATAGTTGTAAGGATAAATGGTGTGTTGTTTTTTGTTTTGTTTGTGAGACAGGGACTCTCCATGTTGTTCAGGCTGGCTTTGAGTCTACTATGTAGTCTTGAACTCACAGTGATTCTCCTGCCTCAGCTTCTCAAGTGCTGGGATTACAATCATACTTGGTGATTCATCAGTTTATGTGAAAGTCAAAACTCATCATGTATAAATACCTGTCACTAATAACTTAGTTTGTATTACTAAGACCTTACAAATGTAGATCAAAATAAAAGTCTGGATTTCTTTCTGCTTTTGCAAAGTCAGATTTGAGAATTCTATGCAGATTCCATCAACTTGCTTCCAAAACCCTGGAGGATCCCTTTTCTCACTGACAGCAAACTCAGGTGAGCAGAGCCATTTCCGCCTTACTCAGCAGCAGAGGTGGCTGCTCACAGAGGTGGTAAGGATGGACGAAGGTCCCCATTTCCTTTCTCCTTGTATTCATGGCTGTACAGTAGTGACCTTGAGCTGAACATCCTGGAGGCTGCTGCATTCCACAAAGCCTTTACATCATCTTAGACAACTTCAGTGACACAGATAACAGGAATGGAGGTCAAGACATTTTAAATCTGTTCATCTCCCCCAGCCAGAATGGCTGGAGAATCAGGATGCCTCATTTACCCAAGGCACCTTAGTTTATGGAAATTTCTCCCATTCCTGATTAATGCAAAATTTCTGAAACAATTATAATCCCTGTATAATTATGCACTTTGCAGTGCTACCCTATGGAAATCAGCATACTGATTCAAACAGGCTCACTGAAGGACCTAAGGAACATGACTACCAAACTGGAACTAAGTATGATACACTACTGCCCAAGAACAAGAGAGTAACTTCATGCTTTCCTTAGAAGCACCCCTCCTCAGCTTGACCTTTGAGCCCACAATATATGATATCTAGGACACAAATGAGGACAATTTCCTGCAGGTTTGCCTTGGGGGCCTCGGGCAGCCACAGTAAGCAGGCCCAAACTAGAAAGAGAAACGTCCCAATAAAATCTGGCCACCCCTTCATGTTGGCAGAACTTTATTCGTTTTCAAACACCACATTCAAAGAATAAAACCCCCAAGATAAATGGCAGCTAAAGCAGGAAACATTTTATTGTACAAATCAGAGCACTGGGAAGAAAGTGGTTCCCAAGTTGTTGATTTTTGAGGTGGGGAATTTCCATCAAGATGCATGTGAGACCAGTAATATCCCCCGAAAAGGCAGTCCATCATTTCAAGTCATCAGCAGAGTCCTTTTGGCCAAACCACATCCGGGTCATATCCTACCTCATCAGAAGAAAGAAACAGAAAGGGAACAGATATTCAGGCTTAAAAAGTTCCACCCACAAATGGGAGAACATGGTTCACTTACCTGAACACACTGGTAGGGGTAAACAGTGCATACTGCAGAAAGTACAGTTGAATTTTTGTCACAGTATGTGCAGAAATATAAATCCAGCAAGGGTCCAGTGTGGGTTAAAGAATGTAACACAGTCCCACATACCTGGACTCTGTATAGATGTTTGGACATATGAGGATTTATTCTAAAGATAGTACCATTGTAACCCTTCCAGAGTTGCCATGCTGGACTGAAAAAACACTGCATCTTTGCATATTACAGTTATAATTCCCAAGAGAATGTGGTGTTCAGTTAGAGAGGGCCTTTAGCTGAATGTTTTCACCAATCCACTACACTTACAGGGACTTTTCTAAAGTCAATTTTCCAGTGTGAATGTAGGTGAAACTGACTAAAAGATTTTGCATACTGGCTTTTATCAACTATGAATTCTCAAGTGTTTAATAAGGCTGGAGTTATGGCTAAAGGACTTCCCACACTGGGTACACGCATAAGGCCTTTCACCAGTATGAACTCTCCTATGTTTAATGAGGCTGGAGTTCTGAGTAAAGGATTTCCCACATTCACTGCATTTGTAGGGTCGTGATCCCATATGAACTCTCTGGTGTTTTTGGAGACTGGAACTGTAAGTAAACAATTTCCCACATTCGCTGCATCCATAAGGCCTTTCTCCAGTATGAACTCTCCGATGCTGAAGGAGAGCAGAGCTTTGGCTAAATGATTTCCCACATTCACTGCATTTAAAAGGCTTTTCTCCAGTGTGAACTCTCCTGTGTTCAATGAGGCTGGAGTTTTGGCTAAATGATTTTCCACATTCACTGCACTCATAAGGCCTTGACCCACGATGAACTTTCTGGTGCTTTATGAGACTGGAATGATAAGTAAAGAATTTCCCACATTCGCTGCACTCATAAGGTCTTTCTCCATTGTGAACACTCTGGTGTTGAAGGAGTGCAGAGCTTTCACTGAAGGATTTCCCACATTCACTACACTCATAAGGCCTTTCTCCAGTGTGAATTCTCCGATGTTTAATGAGGTTGGACTTGTTGCTAAATAATTTCCCACATTCCTCACATTCATGAGGTCGCACTCCAGTGTGAACTCGCCGGTGCTGAATGAGGCTAGAGCTCTGTCTGAAGGATTTCCCACACTCCCCACATTCATAAGGCTTTTCACCAGTGTGAACTCTCCAATGATCACTGAGGCTGTAGCTTTTGCTAAAAGATTTCCCACACTGATCACATATGTAAGAGTGTCCTCTACTAGGGGTTTTCTGCTGCTCATTTTGAGTTTTTCCATTGTGACAGACAGTCTTACAATTACTTCTGCTCTTTGACTGCTCCTTAGTCCAGGGGGCCTCTTCATAGAGGAATTCTGAGCTGGGCAGGAAGTCCTTCTCCACTTTTCTACAGGCAAACTGCTCCCATGCCACACGGAATTTGGACCTGTTCACGAACAAGGACCTGCTCCCCTTGCTTCTGAAGCACTGCCAGACAAACTGTAGCTTCTCATGCTGATGAGTATCTGTAGTGAAACACAATTGTCTTCCACATGCTCCACATCTGTACAGCTTCTGATCAGAACGTGTTTCCTGCTGGTGATAAGTCATGTGCAAGATGTCTATCAAGACCAGGCTACACCACACACAGGGCTGAGCCCTTTGGGGAGATAGACCTTCTCTAAAAGTCCTCACTTGGGACATGCCTTTTAAAGAAGCACTCTGCTCAGAAGATGCCTCTGCATCCCCCACTCCAGGCCAAAGACCTAAGAAAAAGAAACGCTGGTGATGTGCTAACTTTGGTGAGGGGAGCAGCCCCCATACAGTATGGGTGACAATGCCAGAAAAAATCCATGGGATTACTGGCAGGATGAAAATGAGCTCAGGTTGAATCCGAGGCCACTTGGCAATACTAGTGTACAAAGATGACAGGATGACTCCAAGTCAGATAATAAGGGACACATTATGTGCTTCCACACAGAGGAGACACAGGGTTTAAAAGAAACTGTAAGGAGAAACTTGTCTGCTGGCAATATGAGTACTGGGTGGAAGGATGTGTCCACATTCCCAAAATATAACTGTAATAGAGCAGCTGGCGTTGAAGGACTGTTAAAGACTGTGTGTGAACCTCATCACACAAGGCATAGAGAAGCCAGTGTTGAGGATACTGCAGGTGGACCGCAGAGCAAAGGTGAGAAGACTTGAAGTGAAGAGATGCAAGGATTAACTCCAGGGCTGGATGCAAGCTTAGAAAGGAGAGTCCGTATAATTGACAAAATGGGAAACTCTCTAGAATTGGTAAGAAAATGAAGAAGTGAGCCTCAGCCACTGGAACTGACATCAAAATGCTAGTCAAACTGAATACGTGCCTGCTGTGATTTGCAAACAGCCCTCATGTTATCTCTCACCCAGGGCTAGTTTCCCTCTCAGCCCATCTGTTGTTGAGGACCTGTGAACCACTGGCTATCTTCTTCACATTTAAGATACAAGCACATGGTACTCAGGTGATGCATGGACTGAGGCAAAGGAAAGAGCACAGAGACAAGCACTCACTCAAAAAAAGCTCAGCGTGTGACAGTACCAGGAACAAACCCTCAAATATCACCAAAAACCTTCTGAACAAGGAGCTGCAGAGGGAGTTGAGGTCCAGCCACCTCAGCGTGAACATACTGGTGGCACTGATACAGGCAGGTGGTAAGAAAGGTCAGTGAAAGGAAGCAGAATGGGCACAAAGGGCCTTGGACACAGACAGACATACTCCTTCAGAGGGCAGACAAGGTGGGAGGCGTCACGTGACTGTAAGACTCCTGGTTCTGAATCCTTCCCTGCAGCCTAGCAGGGGAACAGGGATTGGGCTGCTAAAGACGAGAAGGCAGGACACACATCAGCCCCAATGACCATAGCACCTACCCAGGACATATGGGGGAAGGACAGCAGAGCCCATGCTTTAGTTATTAGGACAGACCTCCATCGTGGGGAAGGAAGAGCTCAGAGACTAGGTCAGGGTGCATGGCTGTGTGAGAAGACCTTACCCAGGGAGGTGATAAGTGCCAAGTTCTCTGCCATCACATCGCGGTACAGACACCTTTGAGCCTTGTCAAGGAGATGCCATTCGTCCCAGGAGAAATGTACGGCCACATCTTCAAAGGTCACACTTCCCTGCCATGACATACAGATCAAAGCACAAATAATTCCTCACCTGGAGGGAAACAGTGTACTCTTTTACATACTAACCCCATGCTCATATTCTTCCCATGCTCCCCAACACCACAGATCAGCCCTGGTGCCACTGTCCTGCAAGGACTCAATGATCACCAGACACAAGCCATCAGCAACAACGATGGGACAGGCACAACTGACCAGGGATTGGCAGGGAAACGTCTATGCTCTCCCATCCCCAGATATGTCCCTAAAATACTCAAGTTCATGTAATCACAAGAGCAGGGCTTTGGGGCTGCCTGGGTAGCTCCTTCTCCAGGCGCACACCACTGTTTAGATAACACATTCTTTCTAATTCAGGAACCACCCTTTCTAATTCAGCCACATGCCCTTGAGCCCACCACACCCAAGCCACACACTACAGATACCTCCCTGATGTTCCCACATTGGTTTTGCTCCAGTCACCTCCGTTTCACACCACTGGTGAAGGTAGGAGTCCTGTTGTAGTTTTACGGGATTACCAAACTCACCACACCACCCGATCCTTGATGGAATAATGTGATAGTGGTTTATTAATCACATATAACACCATACAGGATGCACACAGAGGCACAGTCCAGAAAAACAGAACCACCACTTGTTGTGGGATGCAAGATTTATATGACTTAAAGGGTGAGGTACTCCTTGGTTCTGTATTTGACTTGTTTGGAGACTGTGGAGACTTGCCCATGGAAAAACAGGGAAGGGAGAAGAAAGTGGGGGCAAGGAAAAGAGCTGAAGTCTGCCACAAAGGAATAAAAGGAAATCGTGACTATGCTGATCAATAAGAGGGCTGTCTATTTGGAGACATTATGAACGGGGAAAAAAGAGGGGAAACTTGCTTTCAGGTGATGTGATATTGTCCAGATTTCACTAAATGTCAAGATGTCAAAAAGAAAAAAAATGGGTCTTAATTTTAAGCTTTATTTTGCAACTTAGCACACAAAACTGAATATCCTTGATGGATTCAAACAGGACCTAACAGTATACCAGACCTCTTAAAGCTTACACTAATGGTGGCAGACCCAAATCCTAATATGATGGCAAATCCAACCCCTGGTATGGCTCCCTGATTTACTCTATTTTTGTCTAAGATTTAGCCACAGAGACCATGCATTCATCACAGACACTAATGATTGTATTCTTCTGTTCAAAAAATTACTCTGTCTATCTAACACTCAAAGCCCAGTCCCACTGGTCACTCACCCTAGGCCAAGTGACTACCACAGAGGACATGTTTGCTGCTGTCATATCCTCCAGGCCCTACCAAAGGCAACACAAAATCCTGGGGAGTCAGTGGTGAATGACTGACAGGTCCAAACCAAGCGTCTTCTTGCCACACTTATACCTCTGCATCTACCTCTCATCTACCCTTCTCACATCTATGCCACCTGGCAAGCTAACCTGTTTGATGCATCCAACAAAACGGTCACTTGTGTTTGTAGTGCCTAATACCATCACCCAGATAGGCAATCAAGAGGCCCAGTACCCCTTCTGAAGCCTCCTAATACCTTTACAATCATAACTTGAGGATTACCTCTCCTAAGTAGGAGTCACAGTTCCCCTATCTTAGGCCAACAAAGGCATCAAATCTTGTATGTCTCTATCCTCAAGCAATCACTAGATTTCAGACCTGCATTGAGCCTCCCGCTCAATTCCGCCACTTCAGTCTCCAAAACATCTCAAATACTTATCATGACCAAAGTGAAGCTCATGATGTTCCCAGTGAATAGTATTCTCTATTCCGACTTTAACTTTTAGCCCTATAGAAGCCAAGGGGTCATCCCTGAAGCCTGTTTCACTCTCTTGCTGCCTGCATTTCAAAACTTTAGATGCTCTTTATAAAAACCCAGACACAGAATGTATACCTGCTAAGGCACGCACTTGTCTATCCACCTTCACCTGGCTACGGCAATACCCTGCGCTCCGACCTTCTTGCTCCCACAGCTTCAATCTGCTTGCCTCTCTGCAGACCAACGGAGCTGGAGCCGGTCAAGACCTTGACAAACCCACCTCCCTTTTCTAATCCAAAGCTTCCACCGCCTCCTGAAGAGGCACCCAACTGCTGAGGCAGCTACTGCAATCCCCATGCCTCCAGCTCTCTGTTCTCATATAAAAGGGACCCATGGCTTCTCAGATTTGCAGCTTAAATTTAATTTGAAGTGTGAGGACTGACCCAAACATGGCCTGAGAGACCCCACTCTTTCCTCTGTAAACAAAACAAACAGCAGTTGCCTCTGGTAAACAAGGAACACGGGCAATAAAGAAAGTTAACACTGGATCTGCTGTTGTCCTGATGCGACTCTGCTTCAACCTGTGCTGACTGCTCACACAGCTCTGAACTGAACATTCAGTCCAGACTCTTTGGGACTCTTGGAAATCTTGATCCCAACCCTGAAACTATACACACTTAGCTTTCCCTCCAGGCAGCTGCTGCTATCACCCTGATGTCATCTGCCTGTAGGTAGGTGGAATAAAGTCAGCTGTTTCCCACATCCTCGGTCTGCGAGTCTCTCTCCGTGCCTCCTTCGCCTAACACCAAGCACGCGCACACCCTGCTACCAGCTCGGGTAACAACCTTCCCCAGCAGTTTACACAGGCCGCGGTAAGCGGGAGCCCCTCTGCACAACCCCAAGGCATGGGCTCAGCATCCTGAGCTTGCACTCAGTCCGGTGCTTTAGAACCAAGAACGAGAACCTTAGCACTTAAGCGTCCAGAACCCCAGAATCCACTGAGCAAGCTGCTGGAAACCGGCGGCTGCAGGTGGGAGTCAGCCTCCACTTCCCCTGCTGGCTGCCCTAAGCCCTTGTCTGTGGCCAGGGAACCGCAGGGAGGGCAGGCCTGCGGCACAACCCCGGCGGGCGGGAGGGGCTCGGCCTCCCTCCAGGCGTGCGGCGCAGAAACCCGGAGACAGGAGCTTCCTCCGTCCTACCTCCAGCTGGGGCGCGCACTGCCGGGTCGAAGCAGGAGCGGGGCTCTCAGCACACGCGGGGCCCCTGCGCTCCGACCCGCCCCGCGAAGCCACAGGTGGGGCTCCCGACCCGAGCCTGTCCCCAGCCGAGCCTACGGGCAGGGCGCTCGGGGCTGCGAGGGCTCCAGGCCCGCTTCCGGCCTCGCGCTCACCTGGGCCGGGCCTCCCGGGGCGGCCGCCGCCATGGCTCTGCAGGAGGCCGGCCGGGGCGGGGCTGACACGGGGCTGGCGAGCACTGAGGGCCCGGCCCTGAGCGGGGGACGGCAGGCCCTCTCTGCCCGCAGGCTCCGCGGGCCTCGGTACCAACTCCACCTCCCCACCACAACCCCCGCTCAGGCCAGAGCCTGGAGACCCTCCAGGGCCGCGACCAAGAACATACCGGAAGTCCTGCCCCTTAGTACTCCATGGAAACCGGTAATTCTGCGTTTCCATTGGTCCAACCTCAGCAGCGTCGCCGCGGAGCATTCTGGATAATGTAGTCTCCAGCGACACCCGGCTCATCAAGTGGCGCGTTGCCCTGCCCATCTACCACCCGGAAACTCAGCTCTAGTGGGCGGCGCGGGGGGCTGCTCTTACAGGTCCTGGGAAACGGGGTATCTGCCGCGTGCCTGGGCGCTCGGTACTGGAAGGCGTGTCTTTTGAAATTCCATAATACAGACCTGCTTGTCCCCACACCTAAATATACAGTATTAATGTAGATACTCTTAAATGCTTTTGGTCGAAAAACGAATATTACAGTATCTTATAGAGTCGTTCAGACACAAAATGCCTGCACTGGCAGGAAAATTATTAAAAATGATCTTATTGGGTCGGCGGTATAGCTCAGCGAACTAAGAGCTTGCTTGAGTAAACACAGGGGCCAGGGTTCGATGCATGGCGCAGCCCCCGGAGCCGGCCCCGCCCCGGGCACACTGAGCCCGCAATAGAACCCGGGTGTGGTGGGCACACCTGTAATCCCAGCACTAGGGAGGCAGAAAGCAAGAGGATGTCTACGAGTCCTTGCTGAGTAGTGACACCCTGCACGCACACACACAAACACGTATGTACGCACACATGCACACAATGATCTTACTGCAGTTGCACTCCACAGACTGTGAACGTTACATTGTCATTTTCTGTATTCTGGCAGAGAGAGAG